AGATTTCTTATCTCATTTCCCGTAATGCTGGGGTTTTATAGAGCTTGCTGACGATGAATCTATCGTCTCTCTCGTCCGTGGACCTAGGTCGACCCCGTCCTGGTCTTCTCGTGTGAAGCCCTGTTTCTCCGAAGCGCCGAAGAACTATATTGCAAAGTGATTTACACTCAGACTTTTGGTGATTTCTCGCTGGCTGTATTCTTCCTCTAATAATGTTATGACCCTGACATTGTCATACTCACTCAAATGCCTGACTGTAGCCCTGAAAAACGTTTAAGAATAAGAATAATATGAAGTGAATTCAACGAAGGAAAAATCTTAACTGAAAGCGATCTTTAGGCGTAGGGATGGTTAGCAGAATGGGAGGGCTTTGCTACTTTTTGTGCAAATGGGATTAATCAGGAGAAAAGTAAACAAAGGAAGTAAAGAAAATATTATCTACTGTTTATTATGACTACGATATATCTTAATTACCTGTAACTATTGTAGAAAGATAATGGGTTTCATTTTAAACCAAATAAATTGAGTGGTGTGTTAATTTTGTCATCAGTGTTTAATTTATTTACCTGTTTATGTGAGCAGATTTATTCAAACTGTGGTCTCAAAAATTTAAAAATATTATCCAAATATTGTTAAGTAATTATTTAAGCGGAAAAAATATCTGTAGCAAATCTTTACAAAATCTGTAATTATGTTTAAAAAATTTTGTATCTTTTTTTGACACTACTGTATGATACATGTGTTTATTGGCAATGAAAGGCTATGCTTGTGTTTAACTTTTAATTGTCGTTTCTTTAGAATCGTTGGACATTAATCATCATCGCTGTGTTTTAGAAGGAAGCGTATGGCTATTTTGAATTGGGACATAATCCATAATTTTGAAGGGAGGTCGAAAGGGTCGAAAAATGGTGGGATGGAGAGGAGGGGAGGCGGATAAATGATGTATTTCTATCCAAGGGCAGTATATACAATGGCCCCATACAATTCCAATTGAATCTTAAAACCGGTTGAATTAACTCCCACCTATGGGTGGAAAGGGTTCCGGTTCCCCACCTCGAAAAAGGGGAGGCGCCACGTTTCGCTCTCCACCAACTCGCCACTGGCTACAAATCTAATCTAAAATCTCATCGTGTATGATCGAAAATGTAGTACAAAACCGAAATTTTTTTTAAAAACCGCCAACGTGAACGGCCAACCTAAGTGATTGAATGTTTATGAAATAGTCGAATGAAACAACGAACAACAAACCCTCACGGTTAATATATTTTTAAAAATATTTATTTCTGTCATGTACATGAATTATACACGTTACAAAATGTTCTTAACGCTATAAACCCCCGGGCAAAACACTCACACTATGGCCAGTACTGCATCCGGAGGACACGAGTTATGAGAAGCCATCCAATGCTGCACTCATTTGCTATAATTTAAAGGGCGACGAGGTCTTGGGACCATTCTCGTTTGAGCTCTGATTTCGATCCTATAAGTCTTCGTATTTAGAATAAGATTGAGGACGAATTCTCCTTAAAGATGAGATGAGCGTTGGTTCAAATCTTCGGATGGACGTAATTTCATATGGAGACGCTCAGGACAAAGGTACAACTCATGCTGTATGGTTCCTCAGGTGGCATTCTCCACAGTGGGTCATTGATGTTCTGGGGTGGCATTTTCTTGAACGCCCGCAACGAATTGGTTGTTCTGCAAGACTTCACAGAGATCCTAAAGTATTTTTTTTTTTTTTTGCGTTATGAACTATGCATATTAGCCATGTGACAATTCGTATATGTGTATTCAAATTTGGGGGGTTATTATGAAAAAAGGGCCAGAGGCGATGGAGGGAATCGAACCCACGACCGCGGCGTGAGAGTCTTTCATGCTAACCACTCGGCTACCGCGGTCCCCTCCTAAAGTAATGTTTTGTAAAAAAAAAAAAAATTTGTTCTTTACCGCCATGTTTGGTTTCGGACCTATAAGTCTTCGTAGTTGTCTAAATATATTTAGTCGTTCGAGTCTTGTGAGAATATTCCTGTCAGTCTACTGTATAAGTGTAGTCCTTAGTATTATACTTGTGTATATTCGGTAGTTCTTTACTGTTAATGCCTAGATGTGGACAAGGATGTTTGTTTAACTTGAACGTAATTTGGGTGCATTTGTCTTCGTTCAGTTTCATCTTCCACGTTTTGCACCATTCTTCAATGATCTCAATATGTTCCTGACTGGAGTTAGAATATAAAATTGCTGTATCATCCACGTAGAAGGTAAGGATTGTTATTCAGATATCGTGAGATGCGGTCCGGTGAATCTGAATAACTATCGATTAACGGTCACTAATCTCTACACACGTAAGGATTGTGTTGGGATATACCGGCAGGTCAGCGGTATAATGGAATAAAGGATGGAGCCAACAATGCTCCCTTGCCTGGATCGGCCTGATTTACGGAATCTCGTTGCTGCAACTTGCTCTGAATCAGCGATCGGTTAGATTGGTAATAAGGACAGGGTAGGAACTGTTTTAGTTCGAAGAGAATTCCCGGGTGCCAGATTCTGTCAAAAGCTTGGGATATATCTAAGAACGTACCGAGGATACTCCGTTTTCTAAATCAGAGGAAAAATTTCAACAACCCTGAAATAATGCTGAAATGAGGAATGTCTAGGTTGGATACCAAATTGGTAGAAGGAATGGCTTATGTAAATCTTGAATAATTTGCGTTTTAAAAGGAGTATTTCAAGGACTTTGGACGTTTGGGGCTGTAAGTTGATATGATCCTTCATGTAAAAGATGGAATGTCCATAAAAATTTTTTTTTAATAATATCAAATTGCATATCATTAAATAAATCAGTAAACAATGTACTGACATAGTAAGAGCCATTTTGGTACTTGTAGGGGAATAAAATAGACCGCAAACCTGATCCTTAACTATTAATAGATGTTGGGATCTAATCCAATTGTTACATGTTAATTTGCAGATTCATCGCTTATTTGCAGAACAGAGTTGCAAAGAGTTAAGATGATGTTAAAAAGGATTAATTTGAACTTACAAAAAAGGTTAATTTGAAGTTAAAAAATTAATTTGAACTTACAAAGGTTTGATTTGAAGTTAAAAAGTTTAATTTGAAGTTACAAAAGGTTGATTTTCAGTTAAAAAGAGTTAATTTTAAGTTAAAAATGATTAATTTGAAGTTAAAAGAATCAATTTGAAATTAAAAAGGGTTGACTTGAAGTTAAAAAAGAGTTAACCTTAAGTTAAAAAGAGTTAATTAGAAGTTAAAAAAGTCAATTTGAAGTAAAAAAGGTTAATTTGAAGTTAAAAATTCTTAATTTTTTGTTAAAAAGGGTTCATTAGGAATAAAAAATGGGTAGATGTGAAGTAAAAAAAGGTTAATTTGATGATACAAAAATTAATTTGAAGTTACAAAGGGTTAATTTTGCGTAAAAAGTTAATACATGTAAAATTAAAATTTTTTTAATAGAAGTTAACTTGACTTTTAAGAAATTAAGAACAGATATTTACGTCTCATTAGTAGGGGCAACTTTTCTGTATGCGCCATATCTGTGGTATTTACGGAACCAACAAAGCCATCTACAGACAAAGACTTCAGAACTCGTAAAAATTTATCTTCTAACTGATTTTGTGTTTTGCTTGCTTAAGGTTACAATAAAGAAAAATCTCATAAAATTTTCAATGCTCTTTTCATTGGTGTAATCAAATTTAAAGTACAACTAATATTTTATGATATACGAGGAACTTTATGGAATAAATTATTGAAAGGTTGAAATGACCTCAAAAGTAATTTCCTGAAGTAGTGACGTCTGTTCACAGGACACCTTGTTTAATTGCATTAATTATACATCGTATTATTATACATTATACATTCATCACATGAGGTTTGAGAGTGGAAGCTTGTCATGTTCACTAGAAATGGTTCAGCTTGCAGTGAGATGATATCTGAACCAGATTCAACTCATCATTTGTGAAACCTTCCATAAAATACATAAGGTGTACTTAAAAAAAAATCGAGAAAAAATTTCCATCCTTTCTTCTCTCTTCCCCACTGAAATACTTGGAAGACTTTATTGGAATCCGTCCCGAATGCAAACTTTGGCCAATACTTTGAAGGATCTTTAATAGGCCATTTTGGCAAATTTTCGGCATTTTCCATAATTTATCTTCGGGTTTATTGTCGCATCGATAATTCGCTTCCAATCTTAGACAACACGATTACCGAATGTTAATCAAATCTATTAATAAGAAAATTTCCTGTGCAAATAACTGTACACTTTCGTTTGAGAAATAGATTACCCAAAGGACCTCAGATAACAACTGATCCTGCGTGTACGAAGGGGCGAATGAAGGATCTGACGGGTCCTCTTCCTTCGCGGACAGGTGCCGTTGAAAGAAAACAGCTCTTTATTAAATAATAGACGAAGAAAAACGTTCATTTAATTTCTTATCGGTTTCTTACAAAGTAAACCTTTATGTTTGTATTTGTTCCATCACCCCAGTAACACACACACATACTCTCTCACCCTCTCTCTCTCTGTCTCTCTCTGTCTGTCTCTCTCTCTCTCTCACTCTCTCTCTCTCCCTCTCTCTCTCTCTTCACTCACTCACACTGTCTCATTCAAAATCTCTCCCTCTCTCACTCTCTCCCTCTCTCCCTCTCACTCTCTCTCTCTCTCTCCCTCTCTCTCTCTCTTCACTCACTCACACTGTCTCATTCAAAATCTCTCTCTCTCTCTCTCTCTCTCTCTCTCTCTCTCTCTATCTATCTATCTCTCTCTCTCCCAGCAATACCTGATGACTACGAGTTAAGAGTATCCGTTGCTGGCCTCATAAAAGGCGAGAATATCTTAACTAAGGCAATTAATATCACAGTGGTCCGTACTGTGAAGTGATTCACTTCGTCGAGATGAGATTGTGCTCCGATGCCGGCTACTTGGGTGGGGGTGGGGGTGGCGCGATAAACCCGCCCCCAAACCAGTCTCCGTCAGTCTTCCGCCACAACCAGACATCCAACATCCACAAGTATGTACACATATTTGATTCAATGACTTTCACGTTGTTAAAATAAATTTCAAAAATTAATTATGTTAATTTGATTTAATTACTTAATCAATTTGGTTATGTTTATCATTAATAATATGCTTGCATGATATTTGTCATGGTGTTGTGTTATATTTTGTCTATCTCTTTACCTATCAACATCTTTCTCTCTCATGTATTGTTACATGTCTTAATTTTTCTCGCTTGTAAAAATTTGCACAAAAGTTAGAAAGTAGAGCATTTTAAAAAGGATAGAGATTTATATTTTCCAGACGTTTTTTCCTCCCTATGCAAAAACACCCTTTTTTACTATTTCCTTGTCATATATCATTCCGGGTTGGTGAAATTCTTAGGCTTTTCAAGTTCATTGTGCACCGGCTTTTCAGGTCATGCAAGTGACCTGTGTCGTAAAATTGTACCGGTGTCTATGCAAACTCGGACTCGGCATAAAGAGTCGACTGGTCTGTGTCAATGACCATCGGAGCGGACGTTAAAGGACTGCGATTTCTTGAAAAGGATCAGAAATTTATTGCACGACCGACCTTCTTCCACCCCCGGCCGGCGCTTTATACCACCCACCCCGTGTTTTTCCTTTGAGCCCTGCTGCACTCGGGCAGTTTTCAAACCGGCGGTTTAAACTTTTTGGCCGTTTCTTCGGCTCGATTGCATCGATGGACGGTTTTTACAATTGCTTTTTACGAGGCCGACGAGGCCTGCTGTCTTTTCCGTTTCCTTATCTTTTGTAAAGTCTGCTCTCTTTCATGGATTTATGCGCATTTCTAAATAGGACAAAATTACACCTTGAAGGCGGAGATAAGAGACAATTGAGGAAGGAAGTAGTAAAAGAAAAAATTAAAAGAACCTTACAAAAAAGTTTTTTTTTTGCATTCTAAAAACAAAACGAAATCCTTCTGCTGTTGATACGATTGTGATAATATTCGAAGGGTTTGCAATTAGATTCTTAAAAAAAAATCCTTGAGGGGTGAGGCACCCTAGCACGCGACTCCCCACCCCACAGTTTTTTCTTCAGTCTTGGTCTAAAAAAATCAATACCTCGTTTTTTGCCCCTCGCCTTAGGGTGAGGGTTTTTTTCTCTACCCCGAGCAACCCCTTTAAGTGGTAATACACGCGCCAAACATCAGCCAGCCCTTCTATCACAGGTGCATTCATTACCTCCGAGGCATCTTAACTACCGTCCTTCCTTCTCGCCAACCGCCAACATCCACCCACTTCCCGTTAACAGCAGCGAGGGGAAAAAAACCGCCGACATTAAAATTAAACACGTCAAACATGCCTGCATCGATTGCACTTCAACCTTGCTAACTGGCTTGGGACAACGCGCGGTTTCCTCTTCCTACCTCTTCCTAACCACCACTCAAGTCACTAATATTCTTTAAGACCTAACCCGGAGCTGTGAACCATTTTAATTCCATTAAAAATAACAGCGAGATGTCCGTTGCAAGTAGTATACGCGAAATATTTAAAAAGGGGGTGTTTTCGGAATCTGGGTAAGTTTGTTTACACGATTCACCATGGCCGTACTCAAAAATTGTCATGTGCTGAAGAGTTTTTATTTAAATTATGCCATTTTTCACTCGTAGAAGAGAATCAAATTTCTGCAGAGTTCGGATGAATTCAAATAAAAGTCTTTTTCTTGCTCATTTTCTTCAAAAAATTTATAAAAAGGGTTCCTAGTTTGTTCATTGATTTACGAGTCCAACCAAAGCAACCTTTATTAAATTGCAAATTTGTTTTGGTTTTGTAGATTCTGTTTATTCAATTTTGTATCCCATCCACCTTGTTTAATTATAAAGGCAATGCATTTTTGAAAAATTTCAGGTTGATTCTAATAACTAATTGATGGAATATGAAAGACGATAAAATACAAAATAACTTGGGATGTCTTGATCGTCTTGGTCTGGCTATTCTCGCTGGTTTTGCCAAAATAACCCACAGACCACCCACTGAACACGGGGAAAGTCAAAACTAATGAGAATAGCTAAGAGTACATCAAGCTAAGGTGAGATTGACGAAATTATTTGCAAAAAGGACACAGTTTACAACAAACCATTGAACACAGCGAAAAACAGGAACGCGTCTGAAAATTAAAACTATGAAGAATAGCTAAGACATTGTGGTAAAACTACGCAAGCTAAACAGAAATTGATGAAATTGCTCGACAACGACTTGAAAACGACTCAACTGATCAAATAACACACAGAAAAACCATTGATGACGGAAGACGATCGATACAGGTTCAAGAAAACCTCTCACATTTTAACAAAACTTGTCGTTTTAAATTAATTAATAAAACAGTTATGGTACGAACATTTTAGTTTTTAAGAAGTAAGTCTAGTTACGAATATATGGCGATAACGTCAAGTGTAAAGATTAAATTTACGATAATCTGGACAGGACTGATTCTAACGGTCAACATTTGAAATTGAAAATGAAAATTAATTCATTGACATTGCTGAAAATAATTACAGTATTTGTCGAATTAATGTGTAGAGATTAGTGACCGTTAATCGATAGTAATTCAGATATCGTGAGATGCGGTCGGGTGTGATGTAGGTTTCAGAAAAACATTTTCTTTATCGTGCCAACGTTTCGATCTTTTATTGAGATCATCTTCAGGGCTCAAAGTGTTTGTCTTCTGTGTAATTGTGCCATCCTTGTGTGTCGTGTTGAGAGTGGGCACGTAATCAGAAAAGTTCATGCGGTTTTTTATTTGTTATTGTTTTACTGCCTGTAATCAACATTTCTATTTACGTATGAGGTCTAGATGTTCACATCATTTAATACCAAGAGGATAATGCGTCAGTTTATAAAGAAACATTATCTCGAATAGTTCATCTTAAATTGTAAAATCTATCTCATTTCTTCAAAACCCATAACTCGTGCTTGCTTATTGTGTGAATTTAAGCTCGGTAAAAGGGCGGCGAGGCAGATCGTAAAATTGGCACTGCTTTCGGTGATGGAATAGTAGGTGAGCGCACTGCCCAAACGTTTGCTTCTGGAAATGAGGTGATTGAAGATGAACCACGGTCTGGTACACCTTATGCATTCAATGACGACGAATTGAAGAAAGCTATCGAACGTTGAGCCAAACTCGTCAGTGGCTTGCCAGAAGGTTAAACGTAAGCGATGATTGGCTCCCGCTTACTTAGACTTGAGAAGATGTGCGAGCTGAGAAAATGAGTTCCTCATAAATTGACCGAAGGTAACAAGCTTCAGCGTCTAAACATTTGCCTTTCATTGCTTTCAACGGCACAAAATACAGACTTGTTTGACTGGATTGTCACACATTAACACCAGGAGGTCGTACCATTGGCTGATCCTGTCCTACTGACGCGAAAACCAAATATTCACCACCAAAAGATGATGCCTTGTCGGTGGAGTGCGGCGGCATTGTGCACTACGAACTGCCATGTAGCCAGACAATCACCGCAGAAATTTACTCAAGCCAACTTTAACGATTATCTCTTGCTCTAGCACCGGCCCGGAAAAAACCTATCGTGAACAGAAAAGATGTAATTTTTCACCAGCACACACCTCATACGGCCAAAACGACACAGGAACGATAATGAAGATTGGTTGGGAAGTCATACCTACCACACCTCCGTACTCTCCAGATCGGCCCTATCTGACTTTAACTTTTTCTTGGCAATGGACGATCATATGCGCAAACGAGCGTTTGAGTATCGCCAACAGCTGGAAAAGAGCTGAATTTATTAAGTCCCGGGATACAAACTATTATAAGACGGGCATAACTGGGCTAGTAACTCGTTGGATGAAGGTTATCGGGTTCGATAATCAGTATCAACTGAGAATGAGCTGAATTTACTTGTTAAGACCCGGGACGCAAACTTTTAAAAGATGAGCATATTAACTCATTGGGAGAAGGTTACTATTACTATTATCAACCTTTATATCCGCACGAACTTTTCTGGTTACCTGGTAATTATTCATTCTTATCTGCAGTCAATCCACGTAAATTGGTTATTTTCTTCGTCTGTAGTAAAACAAAATAATGTTTGTTGGTTAGGTTGACATTGAAAATCGTAGGACAATTTGACAAAATCAGCTCATCTTCTCAAGTTGTGAAAACGTCGTGACACGTACCACTGAAAAAAACCTTGGGTTAGTGGTGATAGAATTAAGTGGTAATGGAACGTAAAGCTATTTTACGAGGTTTTTCATTCTCTCTGTAACTTGATCGTATTCTTTAAAGGTTGAAAAGCATCTTAAGCATATGTTAACCTGGAAATTATCTGGATCAAACATATTATCGGCGATAAAACGTAAACAAATCAACAATTCGTGTTTGAATTTTATGGCCATATTAATTTCAGTTTTATTCATTGTTATTACTTAGTGAGAGTTTCCCTTTTTTCAAAAACTATTTGCTCGTTTGGCTAAAGATGGACATCCATCTACAAGGATAGGGATATCAACGTACATCGGAAACTGAGGGAGGAGATACAAGCAGATGCCATCCAGTCTGAAATTAAAGCAATTGAACACTGTGCCAGATAAATAAAACGACAAGGAACACATTTCAGGAATCAATTTCTCAGACAGTCAGGCGGCCGCCTTGAGGCCTTAGCTTGAAGAGAGGAAAAGGCAAACAGTGTTTGGAATAGTGTGGAATCCGTGGCAATGGTCAGTGGCACCAACGATCTGCCCCTGACATGGATCCCTGGGCATTTGGGACATAGAGTCAATGAAAAAAGTGTTCATGTTGACCAAAAAGGAGCCAATATGAATTCTCTAGGTCCCAAATCCTACTTGGCCCCTTGCCACAAGAAAGGATATACGATAAGTCCCAAACTTGGTGGAGCAACACTCCAGGCATGAGGCTCGCGAAGAGATTCATGAAAGGGTCATCTGCAAGAATTACAAAGAAATTAGTGGAAGGTAACCGCAACAGAGCCTTGGACTCCTGACAGGGCACTGCCGTTTAAGAAGGCACCGGATAA